AGAAAAGATATAAGTTTGAGGCCCTAGCATCTTGTTTGTTTGGGACCTCCATTTAACGTCCTATCAGAGGGTAGGTACTCATTTCCACCTGAGTGAAGTGAGGAAAGTCGTGCAAAGTGCCTTTCCCAAGGGCACAAGATCGGTGACACGGGCAGGGTTCGAACCCGCAACCTCTTGGGTGTGAGCCGAACGCGCTACCGACTGCGCCACACGACCCCACAGACAGCAGTCCCAAAACAAACAAATGTATCTGAGAATGAGGAAATGAGGACGACAAGTATGCATTATTTTACTACATACAATAAGTCTACATATCTCTACCTCTATAATGCTCTTCTTGGATTCAGTTGTTATTGATCTTGCTGGGTTGGGCACAGGGCTTTAGCCAGCGCCCGTTTTACCGTCAATTGACGGTAATTTGTCCCGTGTGACGGTAAAAATTTTAGTCCTCACCGTCAACATTGACGGTCGAAAATTGTGGGTAAAGACATAGAAAAAATCTAGCGAATTTGAATGAGCCACGGCGCGGCGTCTTTTCCAAACGCACGGCGGCGGGAAACCTGATTTCAAGGACCGTGCCGACGTCTGTTGACTTGGTTCTATTGTTCAATGTTGCTGTCTGTTAAAACAACATGTGCTAACGGCCACATAAGAAATTAAAACAATGGCTCGACTCAGACACACGTCGCTGCTAACTGTACATGACAATACGATAAATAAACATGTGACAACAAACAAAGAAATATCAAACGTTTTGAAAATATACTGTACTTGAATAATCATACTATCGCAAGAAAACGGAGATTGATCCACACAATGTGGCCTTATTTAATCTAAAACTTTGTCAGACCTCCTTCGCGCGAAGACTTGAGCGGCAGAACAATTTATCCAATCCCTTAGCCAACCCCAAATCGTAGACAGATTGCAAGCTCTTTCGGTTAAAAGTAGCCCCAAAACAACAGATGAAATTGAAAATTATGTCTCTAATTTCAGTTCAGTGTTGAGAGATGTCGGATACAAATCATTGCGTTTGAAAATAAACAGGAAAAATCCAAAAAGAAACATAATAAAAATGGTATGACAAAAGTTGCAATGATTTGAAACGTGAATTAAAAAATTTGTCTTTCCTATTAGAAAAAAATCCATCTAACCCGGATGTGAGGGGAAGTTTCTTTAAAAAGAAAAAAGAGTACAGGAAATTAATAAGGAGGAAAAAACGGGAATTTAATCAACAAATATTGAATCAGCTCTCTTCTTTGAGGGAACAAAATCCAAGCGCTTTTTGGAGCTTACTAAATAAACTAAAATCAGGAAAATCACAAGACAGTCCTGATATATCAAACGAGGCTTGGTTAAAACATTTCAATAAAGTAGACAAATCTTTATCTGTTCCTGACACAATTCTTGACCCTGAAACTATTTCCCCTACCACCGAAAACCGCCAAACTGATTTTACCCCTACAGAGAACTCCATATTGGACTCACAGATAACAGCTAAGGAATTAGATATAGCCATCTCTAGATTAAAGAATAAGAAATCGAGTGGTAATGACATGGTTATTAACGAAATGTTAAAATGTGGTAAAACAATCTTACAAAACCACTGCTCCATATCTTTAATTCTTGTTTGCAAAATGGATACTACCCCCAGGAGTGGTCACTCAGCCACATTGTTCCCATTCACAAATCTGGTGATACCTCTCTCCCAGACAATTACCGGGGGATTTCCATAGTAAGTTGTCTGGGAAAACTGTTTTCTTCTATTCTAAATTCTCGTCTTGTTAATTATGCAGAGCAGAACAGCCTTTTCAAACCACAACAGGCCGGTTTCAGAAAAAATTATAGAACATCTGATAATCTCTTTGTATTAACTACTCTGGTTAGCAAATACCTCAGCAAAAACACACGTCTTTATGCATGCTTTGTGGATTTCAGCAAAGCTTTCGACTCAGTTTGGCGAGAAGGACTTCTATCCAAATTGAATGGACTTGGTATAGGAGGAAATTTTCTTTCAACCATAAAGGATATGTATTCAAAAACTACTAATTGTATTAAAACTAAATGTGGTCTTACCGAAACATTTGTAACTAACTGTGGGGTTCGTCAAGGCTGTAATCTGTCTCCGACACTGTTTAATTTATTTATAAGTGATATTACAACTGTATTTGATCATGATTGCTGTAACTCCCTCGTTTTGTCACAGTACGAATGTTCCATGTCTTTTATTATTGCGGATGACTTAGTCATATTTTCAGAGTCCCAACGCGGCTTACAGTCATCCCTATCTAGATTAGAACAAT